TTGTAGACCCTTGATGATCTCTGGGGATGGATTTCAGGCCTTTCTGAATCCTCTTATTAGCTAACAGTTGTTTAGAGTCCAAATTTCCTATTAAAACTTTTTTTCCTCATATTATTTTCCTGCCTTTTCTTTGGTAGTTGATCCTCTGTTCAGGGTTACTTTCCACTACTTTCTGTGAATTAGGACATGTGTTATAATAGTGGCATTGCACCGTGGCCCATTGACTGGGCTCTGTCACTAACTGTGGAACTGGATCCTGCATTCCAGGTCCATATTACTTGAAATTTAAATTCATGTGAAAGATAAACAACACCTCTTGGACTGTCAGGGTCACTAGTGGATAGGTTAAACCTCACCTATTGAACAGCAATAACGGGAGGAGGTCATCTTTATCTCTCTCTAGAATGTCCTTTAGTGCTCTTTGTAGAGTTGATTTGGTGGCCATGAATTCCTTCAGTTGTTCTTTATCATGGAAATATCATATTTTTCCATAAATCTGGGTTGGAATTGGTTTTCTTTCAGGATCTGAAGTACTTCACTCCAAGCTCTTCTTGACTTGATGGTTTGTGTTGAGAAGTCTGCCACGATTCTGACCAGTTTTCCTTTATACGTGAACTGTTTCTTTTCTTTAATATTCTCTTCTTGTGCTGAATTTCTGGGATCTTGATTATTACATGTCTTGGTGTAGATTTATTTTAATCATGGTTAGTTGGAGTCTTTTATGTCTCACTTACCTGTATGCCAGGTTCTTTCCCCATGTTTGGGAAGTTTTCTGCTATTACTTCTGTAAATAGTCTTTTCATGTCATTTCTGTTGGCCCCTGCTTTTTTGCTGACGTCTATCACTTTTAAATTGAAAGAATTATGGCCCAGATGGGACACTGTAGCCAGTAAAGCCTCAGGCAGAACCAAGGAGCTCTATCTTCTCCACCCCTAGGAACTTGCTCTGGCGCAAAATAATACCAATGAGATACCTGCGCATCCCTAATGCTTCTCAGGCACCACCTCAACCTAAGCTACATGTATGCCCCACTCCACATGTCAGATGGAGAGATCGCCGACCCAGGGAGACAATGTCAGACCCCAGAGGGTCGGGGGTCTCTCCCGCCTTCTTAAAATAAAGATCATTTATATTTCATACTTCTTATCTTTTCAGCTGCACCAAAATTCTGTCATAAAGTATTTTTATTTGTGTTGCCATGCAACTGTTGAATTGTTATTTCCTGTTTCTATTTTTAAAGAGATCTTTTCTTTCACAATCGCTAGCTGTAATCCTGTCTTCAAGGTCTAAAAATCTATCTTCAGTCTCTTTGAAGTGGTTTCCCCAGATTTTGATGGAGTTTTTAATTTCCTGGATCTCTCTTTGAATCTGTTTCATGCATTGTGATTCCTTCCTCTATTGTTCATTCAGGGTTTCCATCATTTTCCTGTGCTCCTCTTTTTAATCTATGTCTTCTTTACATATGCTCCGCAATTCTTCCATTATATTTGTGATTTCTTCTTTTACCTGAGATATTATTTCTGATATGATTACTTTTACAGTCTCATAAAGTTTTTTCTTTACTTCAGTTGCTATTCTTTCAGAGATTTAAGGTATGTGACTTCCTTTTTTTCCCATGTCTGTATCTTCCAGACTTGTTCTGTGAGGGCTGGAGGTCTGAGACTGCCTTTTGCTCCTTTGTCTTGACATTCTCCTGGGTTCCCAGGAGTTTTGGGGTCCCAGGAACTTTCCACATGGGCTGTCCCTCTGCAGTGCAGAGGAATGGTGTGAGTACCTGGTTTCTCTGAGTCCAGGTTCCCAGGGAGGCCGTGGGGGTGATGTGGGCTTCTCCAGACCTGTACAGCTACACTGAGGTTCCCCGATGGCCAAGGGAGTGTCGTGGGGGATCTACTTCTTCTGTCAGCCTGTGTGGCTACACCATCAGGACTCCCCTGATGGTGGAAGTATACAAAGGTATGTTTATCTGATTTTCTTGGCCCACACTGGCAGCTTAAAGAAAGCAAGCATCTCCAATGGTAGCCTGCGGGTGCATGGGGTGCATCTGGCTGTTTTGTCCTGCCCACACTGGTTGCCTGAGGGAAGCAAGCCTCTGAATGGTGGTGGGCGTGCAGAGGCAGGTCTGGTTGTTTTTCCCTGACCATGCTAGCTAGCCACAGAAGGCAAGCTTTTTAACAGCAGCAGACAGGCTGAGACCTCTCTCTTATTCTCTCTCATTTTTCTCTATTATTCTCTCTCTTGTTTTCTCTCTTACTCTCTCTCTCCTTGTTGGAGTCTAAAAGTTCTACCCCAGAGTCATTCCTTAGCAGTAACTCCGCCCTTAACCTTAGAAAGATATGGGGGTTCATGGAGCATTGGTGTTGTCTTCCAGTGCCAGGACTAAGGTAGACATGGTTGATCCAGGGTTGGAAAGTCTTGAGCTGAGCCCCGCCTCTGTCCACAGGCCGCAGGCATCATGCCTTGAGTTCCAGTTCCCTCATCTGTGTGAGTGAGGAGGGCCCTGAGAGACCTCCACACTGCCTTTTCTTTTTCTGTCTGTTCTGTCCTGCTCCCTGCAGGGAAGTGCTCTGGCACCGTCTTCTCCCATTGCCCTCCAGCTTCTGGGCCTTTCCATGCATGCCTGAAGAGTGTCTAGGGCAGCCCATAGAAAGGAGAAACTGTTACAGGGAAATCAACACGCCACTTGAGTGGACCTGAAAGTGTCTGGGGACAGATGGGTGGTGTGGGGTGGTAGGGAGCAAGGCTACAGGGTCCCTAAGAAGCCACATTATCTTTCTTCTATTTATTTATTTACTTATTTAGGTACTAGGGATCGAACTCGTGACCTTGCGTTTGCCAGGCAGGCACTTATGCTGCTGACCTAATTCCCCGGCCCCCCTTCTTCTATTTATTATTTAAAACATAAATACTAAGTGACAAAATAGATATCAGGAAGCCAACACTGTTCTGAATTTTAGTTACTCTTTTGGAAGTATAAAATAGCATTTCCTTCTCAAACTCTCTCGCTTTGGGGGATTGGGCTTGGTGGGGTTACCTGCTTGGCTGGGATTGTTTTCGCAGCTCTGCCCGCCTCACTAGTTGAGGAGGGAAATCTTTCCTTAGTCATTGGAACCACCGTTCTCTCCTGGTCACCTCCGTGTCTGACCCGGAGGTTAGTCACCTCTCTCTGAATTGCAGAGGTTTCATTTACAAGAGGGGAGTTTGGAGTAAAGGGTTTCTAACGGCTGTTTGTAGAGCTGACAGCACTTTGTGAATTGAGTTGGTGCTTTGTGGTTTTTTATTATTATTACTTTTGAGGGTTCTTTTGCTTTGCTTTGTTTTGTTTTGCTTTGTTTGAGTCAAGATCTTGTTATATACTTTAGCCTGGTCTTGAACTCACTATATAGCCCAGGCTGGCCTCAAACTCATGGGACTCCTCTTGCCTCAGCTTCCCAAGTGCTGAGTTTACACACATCCCCCCTCCCCACCAGGTGGTTTGTGTTTAAAGGTCCATTTATCTAGCAGTCTGTGCGATTGCTTATTGAAGAGACCATCAAATACAATCCAAAAAAGCCTGGTGTTTCTCCTGAGAAACAGTGCGGCCATCTGCACGTCCGTCCAATCTACCCGGGCTAGGAGGACTGAGGACTGGGAAGTGTGGCCTGGAGCTGGGAACCGTAATACACTTGGGTGATTGTTTCCGGCAGATAGATACACTGTCAAGGGAAAATGTGTGAGAACGTAGGGGACATTCCATTCTGCTGTCCTCTGGCTCCTGGTAACAGAGAACGCTTTGTTCTTAAAGCTGGTTGTTGCTTCCTTCTGCCTTCCGAAAAACTCCCCCTCTGATTGACCAGAGGGTGGTCAACATAGGCTGGCTCCATCACCTGGTGCCTCTCTTCTCTCAAGGCCAAAATCAGAGAAAGTGCTATGTTCATGTCAAGAGGAAAAACCCAAAAAAACAGAAAACCTTCTTTTCAGGGAAGGGTGCGAGGCCAGGAAAGGTTCGCGAGAGTGGCCCTTTCCCAGCCTCTGGGCCAGCTGCCGGGGTTAGAAGAAAGGGTGAGACATGGGATGGGGGCAGAGGGCATTTTTAACATCAGATTTGTGCAAGCAGCAGAGAGGCGGAGGTGTGATGGGGGTGTTGCTCGGGTTATGAGGGGGAATCAAAGGGTTAAATTAGCATTTTATTTCTTCCATTAAAAGTCACTGCTACTTGTAGTGAGTCGTAGGTGTCTGAGGCAGTCAGGAAGCACCTGTTCATTCATTTCTCAGGGCAGTCTAGTGAGCGGGGCATTTTTATGCTTCCCATTTTTCAGATGATAAGACTGAGACTTAACAATATCTACCCCACAGCATTATTGTGAAACTTAAGTAAAATAATACTTATAAAGTGCTTAACACAATGAACATTAGCTATTTTGACTGCTTTTGCTTGTAATAGTGAAAACTTGGAAATAAATTCCCAATAATGTTGATTAAATAAATTATATATACAAACACATATACATGCTGAAACTTTAACTATAATAATTGAAATATATATAAAATTTATAAATTATTGCACATATAATACTATGCACTAAATACAGCAAATTACTAAAATCGTAATTAAAATCAAAGTACATCAGAAAATGCCCCTGATTTCATGTTTAGTGAAAAAATAGGTTATACAACATTGCATATACAACATTGCATATAGTATGATTCAAAATTTAAATTACACATACATGCACATCCACACATCTGTCTATTTATCATCTATCCCCAAATGCAGTAAGTATTGAGTTATTATCTTCTGGAGAAGAAATTATGGGTGATTTTTACCTCTGGTTATATTTTCCAAAAATTTCCCAATTTTATGCAGTAAAATGAGTGGCTTTCAACATGTGAGCAGCCCTCACAAACAAGAACCTTGTTATCCTTGATATGTAGCTGAGTTATGACCTTTCTTTCCCTGGTAGCACTCAGCTTCTGCATTTTCTCCCACCCACCACGGGAATGACCGGCCAGTCCCTACCCACCTGCACATCACAAGCGCCGCCTGCTCCCGAGGGACACCCCCACGCACCTTTCATCCTGGCCCAGAATGGAAACGTCTGGACTCTGCAGCCTGTCACCCTGGAACACTATTGCAGGATCTCTCTGGCTTGCTTGTTTTCAAGCTGATTCTTTTCAAGGTGAACTTGAATCTTCTCAGGTTTTATCTTAATTCTGTTGCTTGTTTCTGATAGCTCTGACTGTCTGGCGCTGACACCGATCCCGAGGTTTTAGGGAGGCTCTCTTGCCCCTGTTTTTGAAGCTTTACTAGCTCACAATAGTGTGTAAATAGATTATGCTTCTTTATCACTCTGGTCTTTAAAACCCACACACCACTATTATATTTCTGTTTGTTTTATTAAAAGTAAAGTAATTAGGTTTTATATTGCCTTTTAAAAGTTTCTTTTGATGACACAGACAGATTCTTACACAGCAAGTTTTAAAACAATGGATTTCATTGATAGACTTGTGATTCACACACTCATCTCATTCATCCTAGGGGTCATGGACCTGTATATAATATATCTTGGTTCTTTTTTTTACACTATTCCCTCCCCTCCTTCAATCCTTTGTCTCCTCCTTACTTACAAAAGCTTTGTTTCCATATTTTCCCTCTTATTTTTTATCCTTTTCCCTTCCTCCTTCCTTTCCTTCCTCCTTCCATTCTCTTGTTTCTTATATAGCAAGTTCCTGCCATGTTAGTTAGTAATTAATAACTAATATCAATAATAATTAACATTAATCAGTATTAATGAGCTAATTAATGCAAGCACAATTTTTCTGATATAGTAAGTTCTCAATTTATGAATGAGTTCTGTTTCAGGCGAATTGTTACTATGTTGGGTTTGTTTGTGAAAGTATTTTGCCCCAGATGGGACACTGTAGCCGGTGGGAGCCTGGGAGGTGGAACCAAGGGGCTCTATCTTGAGGTCACCTTTCCTGCCCTTAGGCAATTTACTTATGGTGCCAAATGAATACCAATGGGCTACCTGTGCATCATTAATGCCCCTTAGGCACCACCCCAAACCTAAGCTACAAGTATGCCCCCACACCACGTATCTGGTGGAGAGAATGCCAGACCCCGGAGGTCATGGAGTCTCTCCCCACATTCTTAAAATAAAGGCCACTTTTATTTCATATTTCTTATCTTTTTAGCTACGCTGAAAATTCTATCAGATGGTTCCCTTCTGTGCTGAAAATTCTATCAGTTTGTTATGTTGACCAAGTAAGTCTTATACAGTACACCTGTAAAAGTTTGCAACTTGCAAGTTCTTAAGTCAGGGACTTACTGTTTTTCCTGTCCTTTGTCCCCGTCTTGCTAAAGACTCTCCCCTAGGGTAGCTGAGAGCCGTGCTGGGCCCAATTCAGGTCCTGCCAAAATGAATGTAATATGACCTTCTCATGCCAATGGCCTGAAATTTGTGGTCAAGAGAGAGTAAGTAGGTGGAGAAGGACGCTGAGATTCATTACCATAGCCTAGCATGGTGCTAGTTTCCTCTTTCTACCCATGCCTTATATCTTTCTATCTTTTAATCCTTAATCTCTGTGAGGTAGCAGGTATTATCTCTATTTTTCATAAGTTGGAAAAACAAGGTGCTTTCAGGATAAAGAGGAACTAGGGGAATATGCCACCACCAATTCAACTCTACAGAGAATATTGCAGGATATTCTAAAAAAGAAAAATACGAAGAATCCAGAAATAGTGGCAGAGAGGCCACAATGAATGGAGCAGAAAACAAAATGAAGAAGACAAACTGACCACTAATGACAGAAAAAGAGCTCAAGAGAAATGAGGCAGAGAAGATTGGATGATAGGAACAGCTATCTTGGAGAAAACGATATCATATTAGGTAGTGCTGATTTGGTATCATCTTATTTTGAAGACCCATCAAGCTTTTGTTCTTCTGTCTCCATAGGTCTTAACATGTTGTATCTTATTGGATTTTATTATATGTGATAGTATAAACAAAAACTTTTATAGACAACGAGATTATACAGAAACCATAGTTCATTATCTGTTAGTTGATTCTAAATATCCTGTAATTCTGTCATTCTCTTGAATGGTTATACATTGTGTTGATATATTTGATGCTACAGTATACGAAGTTATACTCAAAGATCTCCAGGAAAGAGACAATGTGGTAACTACTTTTATGTTGGGATTATCTTGTGGTGAAACACTAATTTGCTTAAATGGTTATGTATTGATCTGCACTGTTTAGTTGTTATGCCCTCTTTTATCTCAATCTCCATTTTACTATTTACTTTTTTATTTTTATCCTTTTAATTAAAGGAAAAATAAATTTTAAAAAAGCAGGATATAGTATAGTAACCCACTTTGATATTCTGTTAACTTGATTTGAAGCCCTGTATTGCTCTCACCATGTTTTGACTGATGTTCCTCTATTCTGCTTTGCTTGATAGTACCAGGTTCGAAAGTTTAGGCAACAGCTGTGAAGATAGTGGGATTCATTATGACGCCCATACTGGTTGACTATTATCTACTTTTGAAGACCTGTAATGTCTCCAATGTTTTGGTTTTGTTGGTTTTGTTCTTTACTGTTTTGTTCAATTTTATTATAACTGATGATATAGGCAATTCTATTTGAGATAGCGGGAGGCATTATGGTAACCATTGTTGATCATCTTGTATTATATTTTTACATTATCTATTATGTCCACCCTTTTGATTTAACCGATTCTGTTCTGTTAAGTCACATTTGGTTTTACTTTCTTCCAAAAAAAGCAATAAGAACTGTGGGAGCAATAAAACCCAAAATGTGTAATAGTCATTATACAAAAGAGAGAAAAAGAAAGTGCTCTAAATGGTATAACTGCATGTAAATTTAAGTGTATAAGATAGACAATGATATTACTGAGTTTTGTTGGATCGTTGAACGGAACTGTTTGCAGTCTCGCTGTTTGAATGTGCACTTTATATGCTTTAATCTTGTAACTTGAACAAATATTTCTAAGATGACAATATGTAATCCATTAACTAGTGATTTCCTACTGTTTATTTTTTTTCCTGAAATTCTGTATAACTTGTATCCTTGTTCTGCTTTTTTCCCCCTTTTTCTCCTTAAATTAAAAAAAAAAAAAAAAAAAAGAAGTGGAGGCTTAGGGAAGTCATCAAACCTCTCAAAGTCACATGGCCAGAGAGCAGGGCTGACATTTTATTGACACACTTGTGATATACACATTGATCCCCTTCATCATAGGGATTGTGGACCTGTACATATTTTGATTCTTCTTTTTTCCCCTATTCCCTCCCCTCCTTTGAACCTTCATCTCCTCCTCACTTACAAAAGTTTGTTTCCATATTTTCCCTTTCGTTTTTTTTTATCCTTTCCCTTCCTTTCCTTTCCCTTTGTCTCAAAGCTGTGATTGTAAGCCAGGAGTTTCTCTACCCACACTGTGGTTCTCATGATCAGGATCTGCTGAGAGGTGAGTCTAGGAGTTTGAGTCCACAATCATCAGAGTGCTCATACCCAGAAAGAGTTAGCTCTTAAGTTAGGAGGAATTGCGACTGGTCACCAGTTTAACTAGTTTCCTGGGTGGAAATGAAAGACAGATATGGGGAAAGTGAGGGGTACAGAGAGCATAAAAGACTGGAAGGCGTGGTTCTGTGGAAATGATCTAGAAAATGTCACTAGTACAGCATTTAGGCCATATTTTACTTTCTAATGCATTCTCATGAGAAAATCATTTGTGATTTCATTGTGGCAGAACATAGGCTAAGAATGGCTTTCAGGCACTGGTCCAAGGTTGCTTTGACTGTGAGTGCCAGCTCTAGGATCACAGTGCAGACCACTGGACGATTTCTTGTCAAAAACTGTAATGCTGCCACTTTTGAAATTTGGACTTTTGAATGTTGATTTGAGGAACGTTTTACCTGGAAAGAATTTGAGCTCTTTTTAGACCAAGGACATAAGTTGATCTGCCTTAGCAGTCTGCACCTTGGTGCATCTTTTACCTTCCTTTCTTGATCCATGGAGGAGATGGCAGTTGACGAGGTGCCCGTCAGCCTGCCTCACACGATCAGTGAGCATCTGCTCTGCACTTTGAGTGTGGGCCTTACACACTTTGAGACTCTGGCCAAAGGTACGAATCCTTATAGTATCAAAAGCACAAACCTCAAGAACAGTGAAACACACTTCGAGGGGATTGTTTGGCCTGCTGAAGTCTGTCCACTGAGGTCAGGACCCAGAAGAAGGGCCCACTGCCCAGGCACTAGACCTTGAAGCAGACACAGTTCCTGTTGTCCAGTTCAACAGGGTGCTTGCTGTGCAACCCTGAATTTTCACAACTCATTACCTTTCACAGCTGATCAAGATGCTGATGAAGCGCAGTGTGCCTCTTACACTTCCCACACACAGCCAGACAGTCTGCCCACGGCCCGGCTTTCATGAGAACGGCTTTTTGCCAAGTGCCACACTATCTAGCCTTTTCCTCGGGGTACTTTTTGTCCACTAGGAATGGACAGTGACACACAAATCTACCAATTCTAAGGCTGTGTGGGAGATGCCTGATGAGAAGCACAGGTGTTCGGAGCAGGGAGGGCACAGAGTGGGCGCAGATGGTACTCAGGGTAGGGGAGGCAGAGCGGAGCCTGAACACCTACTGTTGGCTCTTGAGATAGAGACTCCAGTGGGGGAAGCAGGACTCTGGGAAGAAGAGGTGCTCAGCTAATGTGGGCAATCACATTTCACCCCTAGGGCCCAATGACTGCCGTTACCAGGAGGAACTAAAGAGCATGGGAGACAAACAGACAGTCAGGGCAAGGAAGGGAGAGACGTTTGCTCTCTCAGCCCTTCCTGGGTATCCTCAGGTCAGTTGCTTAAATCCTCTGAGTCCCCTTTCCTCACGGAGTGTTTGGAAAGTCAGAAATGAAATGTAATACAGTGTTCATGTGCGCGTTGAATAGGTGAAAGTTCTTTAGTTATCACCGTCAGGGAAAAAATATTCAGAGGGCCTGCCAATGCGAGCTACTGTGACCTGGCCTATGTCTGACCAGCTCTTTGGGGCAATGAATCACTCCTTCAAATTCATTTCTCTAGGTGGCTTTGGGGAAGAGGAAACAGTAGCCCAGCCACGAACCTGAACTTGAGCTGACCCTCAGCAGCTAGTGTGTATCCTTGAGCATCCTTGGGATCCTCAGTCAGGTGTAGCTACAAAACCCGGATGTGACAGCTCACCCACAGACCAGCTAGGGAGATCAAGTGTTCAGTGAGGGGCTGCATAG